ACACAAAGGATCACTTCGGTCTCCTAATTTTCAGAAACTCCGGCTAGCACACGAAAATTATCGTAGCTAATGCAACAATAAACTGTTCATTTCAATGTTAATGACTTTTTAGCTTACGATGTCCGTAGGTTACATGGAAATTTGTCGATAGTTGACGGGGATCTCTCGCATTAGCGTTCCGGGGAAGTAACAAAGATGGCGGACGCGGCGTGGGGTAGCAGTATCCCATCATTCCATGCGGTGTTTTTTCGTCGGCACATTTGGCGTGTTGATGCGGCGATAGCGCCGTGTCGCAGTCGAAATAAACTCAAAATAATGGCGCAGTACACAAGTAGAGACACAATTTTAATGATTAAGAAATGAGTTGTTTGAGAAATTAAACATTCTTGGAATAAACAGGCTAAAAGAACACAAAAGCATGCCGCATTTGGCGGCTATGAACCGGCTCGCGCTTCTCATTACGTAGTGCCGATGTGCGCCCGACCGCTCGATCAACGTAAATTTCGGCCTCCTTTGTGGTTCAAAACAGACAACTTCGTCCCTTTTGGCGGCTTGATGTCTTGATATAAGAAATTTTCCGCCGATTTTGGTGATTTGTTTGGCATATTTTTGGTTGAAAATGTGTTGCAACTTGACATTTTTTTTTTTCAATTAGCCGGCATTGGCTTTTCAAATAAGGGGCGCGATAAACAATGGTGCCAATGGGAAACGTTTTGGGTTTTCACAATTCTTTTCAATTAGCAGACTTTTTCTTATAAGCGTTTTTCAATTAACTGGCTCCCACTGTACTTATCTTTACACTCAAATATACAGGAAATAAACCTATCATTACTAGGATTTGCCTACAAGTGAATAGAATGCTTAGGATGCATTCATTCAAGTAATACTGTTTACTCTGACTGAGTACAAACTTGAAAGAAATACAAAAACGGACAACGTTAAACGAAACTTGACAAATGCCTGCATACTGTAATGCTATAAGTAATAGGAAAGTACACCTAGGATATCTAAAATAGCTGCACTGTACTGTATCATATTGGTTAGTACTATCCAACATTTGACACATCCTGACCCATCCTTACCAACAACAATTAATGTAATAATATAAAGGTTTAAGTCTTGTCTTGACTAACCCTTCAACGATTGGCACATCTTGACACTGATTAAATTGCCTTTCAACAAATTCTATCAGTACCTCTCAGATTTAGAGTCAGAAAGTGCAAGCACCATTGGTTCACGACTAGTCGACTACTAGAAATATTCTATAGCTGTCTGTAACAGAAACATATGGATGACTGAATGAGCCATGGTTTCTAAGGGCAGGAATGGCTGGAACAAGAGAAGCATTGGTGCAGGTTTAATCTACACTGAAACGTACCTCTGGTATTGGTGGCCATATCTGCCACTTTCTGGAAGGAGTCCAAGAAGACTGCTGCTGCCAGGGCTGTAGTCCTGAGGGAGAGGTTAATGCAGTTAGTACTGTACCATAGTATGACTCACTATTGTCTAACTCTTCAAAGCTAAGGACGTGGAAAATCTATCTTGTCACAGCTTGCTACTGGGATGAAAAGATGCGAAAAATCATTGATCATTACTAGACTTGGGAGAATAACAAAGTCCTTTTTTTATATAAGATGTATACTGTATGAATTTTCTGTATCATAAAAACTCATTCATACTATGTTACTAGACAATGCTACAGGTTTATATATAAGATGTACACTGTATGAATTTTCTGTATCATAACTACTCGTTCATACTGTGTTACTGGACAATGCAGTCCTGTAGCAGTCCAGTAGAGGTACTAGGTGCAAGTCATTCTGGTGAGAAACAATGGATGCACTGTCTTAGTTTTTTCAGCTTAACTTCCTAAGATAGCAGTGATCTCTTGCCAGCAATCTTAGCATCTGGCTAGTTGTTGTGGCGATAACAGAGGTTATTGGGCTAGTCCTTGTATCCTCAGGTGTTTCGTATGGGACAGATTGGTGTTTTCGTAGCCTTCTTTAGTTACTTGTTTGACCACAGGCAGGCACTGTTTTGCTCAGGTGCACCATATGGTTAAATTTGCTGTTTCAAGATAACGTCAGATTTGTGTTTGAGAATGAGACCTTGGTTATTATAATGACTTTTCTGTGTGATTGTCACGGCAGCAAGGAATATTAGAAACAAACGTGACAATCTGGTGAGGGGTTTAAAATTAAGACATAATAAAATGTATTCTTGGGGAAATGTTTTGATACGATTTGTCTTTTGCATCTAGACATGAGGGTTGAGCAAAACTGCATACCATTAGCAAAAAGTTATGTCTGAACCAGGATATGTGATTAAATAAACATGGACACCCAATCATAACAAAGACAGCCTCTGAATACATCTGTGTATGGACATTCAATAATGATGACCCTCTTACTGAAAAAGGACTGGAGCCAAAAATAAATGGTCACTACTCACTTCAGCTGTGAATGAAGCTTGGTGGCCTTGCTGAGAAAGTCTTCCCATACTGGTGTACTGGACTGGATAAAAGAATCAATAAAAATGCATGTGTTAGGCAGGGTAGAAGGTAAACAAAATCAAGGTTGAATACAATGCTGGTCTGTTATTCATACATTCCAAAGTCCTTGTTTATAGATCTATGAAAGTAAAGCATTTTATGGACAAGTGTTGCTCTTTTGGCAGTTTGTAATTTGTGTCCTTGGAATCTCGTGGGACTTAAAATCACAACACAGGCACCACTTGATAGTCTCATGACATATCTGGGCACGTGTTGTCACCAAAATGCCATGTGAAAGAGCAAAATGAATTGCTTCACGATCCTTAGATCAACAAGGGTGACCTAGGAGCAAGAGAGGGACGCCCCCCTCCCCCCTTCTCAATAACCCTAGCACGTTAGCTCCCTACTTCAGTTACACGACTTTGTTTGTTCAATGTTGTTGTCCTTATCTAATCAAAATAAAACACAAGTCTATTAACATCCAGACAATTCTGGTCATTCTGTATCGTGTCAGGGATCTGAAAGGAAATACTAGCTGTGGCGACGGGCTCGGGGGACAAGGTAAAACAGATTGGGGAAACGGTCGCGACTGGACCTAGAAATTGTGCAACACCGGAAGCGACAACGGGCAGGATAAACAGGACGTTTGCATTTTGAGCGGCCTCTCCACTCGTCTTTTTGTCTGTGGACGTAGACTTGCACAACATATTATGCACACTTTCGTTAGAATTTAATCAGAAAGAAAGCAACAGTTCAAGAAAATTTGCACCTGGCAACTCCGTCCCAGAGGACAGTAGACAATTATGTGGCCAACAACAACAGAGGTTTGACTCTGCTTGGACAGGGCGGTCCAAAATATTACAAGATCTTAGTCACGGTTGGCTACCCACAGGACCAGAAAGAATACACACACAAAATTCCTCTGTGAAAGCCTGTCCACCCATGTTTTTCCAGTTGCTGGCCCCTTGTTTCGGACAGGTAGACGCTGCCCCCCTCCCCAGCCCGGCCAGTCACGGTCCAGTGTCCCAGACCGCCCGGCACCCCAAAACAAAGTCCAACGTCGCTCTCCCTCTTGTCGCTACCCCCGCTATTTTTACGCCGCTCTAAACGTCTCAAGAGCTTTAAAATCCCACAACCTCGATTTTCACGGTTGTCAGACGACCATGGAGTGTGATGGATTCATTTGCTTAATCTATTTTGCTTCTGTCCGCCGAGACTTTGGTGAAGTGTCCCCCCACTCAACCCCGACCCTAAAACAAAACCCCGCCGATCGGGCACCACGCCGAAAAAACGGGGGGTAAAACTTGCCTTCAAGTCGGTCACTATGGTCTGGAACAGTCCGCCCAGGGCGCTACACTCCTTCTCGATGTTGGCCTCCATCCTCGACCCGACTTCTGAGGTAAAAGTTCCCCGTTAGAGTCCAGAAAACACGAGAGATCTCGGGCTAAAACGCAAATCCAAGCTGCGGGAGCGGCGCTCCACTGTACAGTACCGTGTGGCTGGCACAGTCCACAGGCGCACGGAAGGACTACCAAACCGCCGGCGGATGACGTCCAAACTTCCGCCGAATCTTCCTGTCGATCCAACTACCACACCCTGGACCTACCGCAAGGCATCCACAACATCCTCGGCCAGGTCTCCTTACGATCTACCGCCCGTGGAACTGCATGTTTACGGGGCTGGAAAGCTCAGACGGCCGAGACGGACCACATTCCTCCCTCCGCACCGCCGACATTACTGGCATGGCTTATTTGGGCTGCGGGGTCACGTGACCCTACAGTTGATATTTATTGGTCCGCTGCCAAAAAAAGAAAGTAGTACACCAGGCACTGTGGAATACGCACTGTCTGGTAGCAAACATTGAAGGAAAAAAAAATACTAGTATTCATACTCGGATACTCCTTTATGAATTTTGAAAGACACTGCATTGTGAATGCGAAAAGTATTTGTAATTTGCAAACGGCGTCCCTAAAAGTAAGACATGTCAGTTGATAAAAGTCTAGCTGCCCGGTCGACTGACCATATAATCACAAGTTTTATAACTATGTAGATAAAAATAACATAATTTAACTTTCATGGGTCAATTGATTAGTCATCAAAGACAAAAGGACGTACCGAACCATAATTTAGCAGTCTGAATCATGTGTATTGATTTTGCTTTGTAGATGAAACTTTGAGCCCTGAATGGAGTGAAAAACAAAATGCAGAAAGAGTAGAGCGTGTGTAGTACTGAACTGCGCTAAAAAAAAGACAGCTTGTTTTAAGGGCCCGTTTCGAAGGTCTAGAGTTCGCCAACACGCATACAGTTGTGGTTGCGCATGATACGCACACGTATGCCCTCATCTTTTCAGTACTGCGAAAAAGTATAATACAAGGCATAACAGAGACAGCTAACTAGCCCTGGGCGGTTACTACCCAGAACTTTGTACAAAGCTATGCATATATGACGTTGAACATTATAGTCTTACTTCAGACTGAGCAGTTTACAAGTAACGTTACTTACTTGATATCAATTTTACTTGATATCAATTTAGAGCTTTATCAGCTATGCATCACAATCTTCCGATTAAACTGATGTGAAAAGAAACTACACTGCCCACACACCTACGCTACAAGTCTAGCTGCCAAGGCAAATGTCCATTGGGTATACTAGTAGGTCAGAGGTTCAGGCTGATTTTCAAGAATCATTTTGGAACCATTTGATAAGGAACGCTGACTTTTTTTGGCGGGGGACTAGCCTACGTCATGATTGACGTACCAGACGACGAGTGGCTTTGCCCTCTCTCACCACACCACGTTGTGATTGACACCCCAGACAGACGACAAGTTAGGTCGCCATCTACACTATAGCTTTGATTGACGCACCAGACACACAACGAGCTTGGTTGCCCCGACTCTTCAGCCACAGACACCAGGAGGGCCAAGGACAAGACCTGATATCCAGCCGCCTCGGTCATGTCAGCACCACCTGTTCGTACTTCAAACTTATCGAATGGGGCTTAGCTAACAGCACTTGAGCAACGGTATGCGACGTTCAGATAGGGGGATATTAGCTAAATCCTGTGCTGTTGCACGCCCTCTTGGGCGAGGGCAATCGAAGCCCAAGCGGACCGTGCGATTGACATACCGGCACCATGCATTACCTGAACCGGTAAGTATTAGACCTGCCGCGTAGTGTAGAGGTATTACACGACGAGCAAGGTGTAACGCACTCGCAACTTCCAATGCAAAATATCTGTAAACTTTAATTTTGCTTGGACGGAAATAACGGAATTGATCATTGTCAGAGAGAAGTGTTGTATACATACGCATGTGTATGTACGTTATTTTCGCTTCGAGTTGCATTATAACTCTTTAAGACGAAAAAAAAACTTTTTTCAACGCTTCCGTTGTAAGCATATTTTTTTTTAATTTTTGAATATCTCCGATGTTTGATCTGGTAGTGGTTTTCACTATTAACATCGTGTTCAAATAGTGAAATACTGATTAATAAATGTTTTCGGGTGAGCGTTTCAGTTGAGAATCATCATCATCAGTACTAGCTGTTGAGAAGTATGAATGAAGTCTTTGAATTTTCAGCTCGGTAAGAGTTATTGCTGGGACAAGTACAGTGGAATACCTTTAATTTTCTTTCAAGGTTCAGAAGCGACATCTGCACGTAACTGTATGCATTGTGGGCATAGTCGAAACTTTCAATGGTCTCCGGTTAGATGACGTCACATGGGGCTTTTACGCACTGGGGGCATGAGCAGAATTCACGATTCAATTATACATCTTGTTTATTTCAACAGTTAGCAAAATGCTGCGTCAACGCAAAGGAATGCAATAAACACCTCTGCGGAAGGATTTGTACGTCAGTGTATGGAGAGTTGCCAAATGTAACGTGTATGAAGGCTGCAATTCATATTTACCTCGTTAGAGAGCGCTGTGAACAGGTCTCCCGTACAACTGACAAGAAGCGATTCTTCAGTCAAAGCATTTTATACAGAACAAAAATACTTACATATGACAGGTATGATGTAACTGTTCTGTGTTTTAGGTGTTGGGTGTCGCATCTGCATCTCTGGTACTTAATTTGTTAAACGGAAGCCTCACCCTTTTTTCAGAATGAACCGGTCCATTCTAAGCTTACGTCATCCCACAATGCCGTTTGGGTGTCAGTTTCCCCCAGCTGATCACTTCCGGTGTGCACTTCGTGTCTAAACCGGCGGTCTGTTTGTGTGCCATACCTTCCCCCTGTCCTGTCCGGCGTCTTTTCGGGATTTCTCGTGTTTGTGTGTGAAGTCGGAGCACCGTGGCGTGGACGTGCCATGTCTCAGAATGCCGGGGTGGGGACAGGATACCGAGAGGGGACGGCGTCTTACTCGACCGTCACGACCGAAGCGGACCAGGACAGCCCGTACTCGCCCACCACCACCACGCTGACGACAACTCAGTCCGGCTGGGGGCTCACGTGCGATCTGCGCTACTGCAGAACCTTCCCAGGGATTACCAAGATAGCGCAGATGGTGAGCTAGTGGGTGTATATTTTGTTTCACGCGTGATAAAGCCATACAAAACAACTAATTTCTAGTGTCCTGTACTAGTCTAACGTCAAATACAGTATCGAGCGAAGGGGGTACCTACCAGTTGTCAGCGATTTTGTTGCCATGGATTTTGCACAAATTATGCACAACTTATTTATTGTAAACGAGACAAATCACGGCGTTTTCTTTATGAAATTAGAATATGTTGTTAAAAGCTTCTCTTTTCCAGAATAACTTGGTGATCTTTTGGTAGCTACGATTTGAATTTTCGAATTTCTCAACAGTCAGAGCTTGGGTTTGACAGCCGTGACATATTTGTCCACATTGCTGTCTGATCCAGACACTTGACACGTGTGTCACTTGTCAGACTCATCAATTTGTTCTGTCATAATTTGTTTACATCCCAAAGTGGCTTCACGTCTTTTGTAGAAACAGTTCAAAAGAGAAAATACTGCAAAAACACTGAACCGAACCTTACATCTGCTTGGAGATCAGTCAGATCTATATCTATATCTACGTCATGTCTGTGATATTTGTGCATTTCTAACCAGGTAATATTAGATCCCAGGAGGACATGGAATATTATAGAAGCCTTTTCACCAGTCAGTCTGCCTGCTTCAGCCCGACCATTCAAACATGACTCAGTAGAACTCCCATGAGTCAGAATGTTCACTACAATAGTGCTGTGGGTCTACTTTTCTTGCTATTACTGTGCGATACATTGTGTACATTTCAATGTACATGCATAAGTTTTTACCAGGGAGAAAAATCGCAAAGCTTGGCGTGTGAACAATCCTTTTGATCTACTATAAGTTCTAATTTTGTTCACCCTGAACAGTATGTTCAACTAGTTATGAGCTTGAGCATTATCATGGTATTGTTTTGTTTTTGAACTGTGAATGTTGTAACGTTAACCAACTGTAGTTTAATCATCAACCTTGTGTAAACGGTAAGTATATGTACAATGTGTCAAAATAATATTGACATAAGTAGGGCAAGTTGTTTCTATTTATGTCACTGATGTGAATCATTAACCCAGTTTAATAAATGAGTACCTGTTCTTTTATTGTCAAACAGTCTAAACTTATGGTGAGTAACTGCTGTTACCATAACGTTTTGAAAGACACCCAAAAGAACATTACAAAGAAGTCATTCCCTAAGCCTTACATATGACCAACATACTACTAGTAAATTTACCTCCGAAAATAATTTCCTCAGGTTTAATTAACTTAATGAAGTTAATTTACCGCCTGCCTGAATTTACCCCTATAAACTAGCATTGTCAGTGACTCGGATGTCCTAAATTTACTGTTAACCATTGTCAGGATCCCCTCATGCAGACCCTCTTCTGTCTGGCAGGTACTTACACAAAACCTCACATCTGAGCAGTACAGAGGGCAGTCATGCTTTTCCATTTCCAGGCCAACAAGGTCAGCCCTGAAATGGTTGTTGGAGGGGAGTGAGTGATGTGTTGGCAACACGACAGAAAAAGCTGAAGTAGTAATATTCTGTGCACAGCAGATCAATATGACCTCTAAATGGCAGATGTGAGCGGAATGTTACCGGAATAATGCATTTCTAGGTAGTTCTTAGAAGAAGTTACCTAATGCTTCTCACTGGTTGTGTAAGCAGTTCTGTGGACAAAGTTGCTGTTTTGGTATTTTTGGAAAGAACTAAGTAGTGCAGAGGTTCTGAAAAACTACAATTGCAGTACGGTGAAGTACTAGTATTGATGCTTCTCAGAGTAGCAGGGAGCCTTTTGTGGTAAAATTGAGACTGAAGGGTAGTTCATGGGTTTGGTTGCAATACAGATGGATTTCATTCAAAAGAACAGGATATGATTTACCCAGTAATGATTAGACACCTACATGTATATACATGTACCGGTAAATCTACATCATAGGAAACCTTAAATTCACTTAAAAGCAAAGGCACTTTATTCACGAGAAAACAGGATATAAGCATCATAAATATGCACCTGCATCTATTTATTCGTGTATGTATGAAACCTGCCGATTGAAGGATATATTTGTTTATTAAACAAGTTTTGTTATTTTAGTCCTTGAGACTGTACCAAGTGCCTTGGTTAATGTAATTATGGGAAACAGTCTTTGTGTTCAGTCTTTATCATTTATATCCTTACACCTGGTAAAAGGCAGTTTCTCACCTGGTATTCTAAGGGAAGCCTATCTTCCCAGGGGAATTTGTACATGACTACTGCATTAAATGTAGTTCCCATGTAGTAATCAAATCATCATTCATGTCACTATTGCTTGTTCTGTTAGACCAGTCCTGTATCAGTGTATGAGCT